ACCTATACATTTATATTGAACTCATAAACAGGTTCATGTAGCATGATATCCATTTAAAGTATATTTTACTTTTAGATAGCCCATCCAGACTAGAAGAAATTTGTACGAAACTTGTATAAAGAAACTTTGTATAAAGAATCATCGTATAATGAAAGGATCACACAGACTAGAGAAGAACATTGTATAAAGAAACGTTGTTTAAGTTAACTAAATTTAAAGAGGTCTGTTGACATGACAGCTGGCCAATCATTAGTGTGCAATCACGATATATAAGCCCCGACCAGTATACGATTTTTGTAAGATCAAATGTTCACACTAGAAGAGAACCCTGATTCTTAATAGAGTTTTCTTAAGGAAACGGCGTTTCGATATATACATTTTGTTACCCGATTTTGTTATACAACAATACTTTAAAAGATGTTCAGACCATTCTTGTTCAGACTAAGCTACATATCGTATAGCTATTCAATGAGTGCTAGCAGTCAGCATGCATGGTGAGTGACATGTGGATAGTTTACAGTTAATAGGGTACTAAAAGTGGACTGAGTCACGCCACCCTCATAAAGGCTATGCCATAGCATATATGGCAAAATATCTAGGGGCGAGAGAAGTAGAGATAGCAGATATATAAATGATAGCTAATGGTAGCTCAGAGGAGAGGGGGGCATTATTAGAAAACACAGTCCCATAGTCAATCAGTTACTGTGCTTTTGACCCAGTGTCAAGAGGTCGAGAGGTGTCGTGGTCGAGTGGATAAGTCACCGGACTGTGGATCACAAGGTCCGCGGTTCAAGTCCCGCCGCGGCACTAATGTCCTTTGGCAAGACATTGATCTACATTTGCCACTCTCCACCCAGGTGTTAAAATGGGTACCCGGTAGGATGCGAAAGCTAATGTGGTTTGATTAGCAAGTGGCGCTTGTAAAATGGCGACTGGCTGGAATGCTCCCCAGGGAGTGGAGAATGTGCATACCTTGTGTGCGGGTAAGCCTGAATCCGATGACCGGGGTAATAATAATATGTTGTAAAGCGCTGTGATACACATGTATGTCTGTAAGAGTGCTATATAAATGCCAATATTATATTTTATATAGTGTCCATAACTAAAATGATGTCCACTTTGCGCGACTAAAACAACCCACTTAATTCACAATTTTGTTTATATCCCCATTTTGCTTGACCAAATTTGCAATTTATTGCACAATAAATATTCAACGATATGCGACTATGCAGTTTTTTCTAAGGTACAGACCCATTACCAGAAGTGAATATCATCTTTAATTGATGCTATAAAATCTAATTAGCTCACCACCTTTTACATAATACTCCTATGCCAATTAAAGTTTATAGTCATCAATGTGCTGGCTATAAACAGAGTTGTAACCTTTTGCAGACCTTTTGCCGCCAAAAAACTTTTTCATTTTCAGTTAGAGTAAACATTCTTTACTCCTATTGGAGCAGACAAATTACAGTTTTTTTTCTACAGCATGCTCCCAAATTCTAATCATTGACATGAAATACACATGTTCATGTAGAGCAAAAATATTACTATGAATGGAATCTGTACTACTCATAGCTTGCAGTAATTTTTGTGAGGATGTATTGTAAAGAGGTCCTTCAAAATCCTTGTTCAGATTGAAGCATTCTCTTTAGGCCTGTCCTCATCAGACCAAAGTTGCAAAATAACCTGCTATTGTCAGACTCGGGATATTTTCCAGAAGCTTAAAATTGCGTCTTCAAACTAGCTCGGACATGCGCAAATTAGCCCGCTTTTTCCTAAATAGCAGGCTATTTTTGAAACAAGACCAAGATTTCTCGGGATATTTTCTTGAACAAATAGCCCGCTAAATGCAACTGCGGGCTGAAGACGACGCAAATTAGCTGGCTAATTTGAGATAAAATAGCGGGTTATTTTGCAACTTTGGTCTGATGAAAACAGGCCTTTTGTGACACAAAAGGAATGTCTTGAACCAAAACCACTGTTGAAGATGAAGATCATTTTGTTCATAATGTTTCACTTTCAAAAGTCGCACTCCTTTTGTCCTTTGAGGGTATCACGTTTAAGCTCTAGCTTAAGATGGCAGTCTCCTGCATTTTTCAATTTCAAATGTTTTATCAACTACCGGTATGTTTTTTTTTAAAGGTATAATAATTTAATTGATTGATTTACATTGTGATATGATTATGTATGCATTTTAACTTTTGTTAATGATACATATGTACCTAGTTTGTATATTACTTTGAATTACGTTGAAAAATGCGAAAAATAAAAATCTAACAATTGGAGGATAACAATTAGCTGAAAGTATTCAGTCTTATCACCAATGCAATGAATATATCAAACCTCTATCAAAGATTTTGCTTTTGTTTTATTTTTATTGAAACACTCAAGACCATGATGGCTGCTTCAACTTTTGTTGATCACATTTCTTTTTTCCGGTTTGTAATGAATACTGCAACGGTAGACCCTGATATGTGGCTATCCACCATTTATACAGTCCTGACACAAAAGAGTGGTGAGGTTTGACAGTGGCAGATGCCTTCCTTTCAACTTCATTTGAACTCTAATTTCTTTGTAGAGAAAGTAGGAGTTAGAGAGTGTACGAGAGAGGGGGAAGGGGGGGGGGTTGAGACAATATATGTAATAGCCCAGCATGAAAGGAAATGAGAGATACATGGAATTAGCTCAGTATGATAAAGAAATGTTCAATAAAGGAGAATGGCAGAATTAGAGAAAGAGAGAGAGAGAGAGAGAGAGAGAGAGAGAGGGGGGGGGGAGAGAGAGAGAGAGAGAGGGGGGGGGGGGGGGGAGAGATAAAGACAGACAGGCAGAAGAAGGGGAGAAGAAGGAGAAGTTGGTGGGGAGATGGGGATGTGGATTCTATGTAGGAATGGTATTTACATCATGTTGGATTTTTAAACATACATTATTCTGAGACACAGAGATCAAGATAGCCATGTATTTGATTTGGACAGCAACACACAGAAATAAAGATGGATGATAGAAAAAGAAACATGAATAGAAATATGCAAGATCCATTCAACAGACAGAGATACTTAGATAGAGAAGGGAAGAGAGAGAGAGTGAGAGAGAGAGAGAGAGATAGATAGAAAGAGAGAGCGCTCGAGGGAAGACAAACTCGTAGAATCTGTTTTGGTTATGTTGATAAAGGGAGGCAGAGACAGATCAAATTTCAAAGATTATCAATGTGCAATTCCGCACTAATCTACTTTCACCGGTATCTCTTTCTTATAGGCAGGAAATAATCTTTCTCCCGATATCCCTCAGAAATTGAAAGTTGCACTTTTATGAAAGTTACACTTTTCCTTCTTTTATGGACATGAACAAAGAGCTAGAGTACATTGCACCAGTATATCCCAGTTAAGAAGGAAGCATGTTGCCATGACAACAATGAACTTGAAGAGACGGGGACGATTTGGCCCTGTGGGAGCAAAACGTGATACAAACAACATCTCCAAAATAGAAAACAGTTTTGTGAAGGAGAGACTTTTTCAAGGCACCCCCTACCACCACCCCCCCCCCCCCCCCCCCCCATTGAAATATCTCCCAGAGAAAGCCTTGTGATCGCAGGTGGGGATAGAGAACGCACAATAAAAGGGCAAGCCTGGTGGCAAACTGGCAATGGCTTTCCAATTGTTTGAACCTAACCATCCTTTTATTGTCACATGCACAAATCTGGAAGTGGCCCACATTTCATGCATTGTTTGTGTCACTCAAGGCCTTTTCAGAAAAAAGGACTTTTGATACAAGTCGTCGCTGTTTTCACGAAGTGACGGTAGTGAAAAAAAATTGCATTCACTTTGCGTTACGATTTTCCTATCTACCGTCACTTCGTGAAAACAAGGACGAAGTATAGGCCTGCATCCTGTCAAAAACAACTTCATGGCTATTCACATGACTAATCTTAATATATGACTTTTTTTTAAAGTTGCAAAAACATTGGAAGCTCATGATTTTAAACTTCATGGTAGGCAAGCAGTTATAATTTTAAGTTGGTGAAACCTCAAAATTAATCCTGTTCTGGTGCATGATGAGGAGTGTTTAAAACTTCAAGCATACTTAATCTTCCAAAACAATGAGCGCAACCACATGGTCTTTATCTACAATGTAACCTCAGAGTTTAAAACCATGAACTAAAGATATAGTTTACAGACTGACATGAGAACTGAGCTATTGTTTGATCATATAGGATACAACTAAGAGTTTTCTCCTGTGAAGGAAGTATAGTATCTTTTGGTCTCCAGTGTAAATAGGGGAAATCCCCTTGTGACTCGCATAGGCACTCCTTGAGTGGAGAGGAATTTGTATGGTGAATCTTCCCATTTGGAGAGAGAAACAGGTGCCTTAGGATTATCAAAGGACCATTCCCAGGTGATGTGAAGAGTTCATGGTGGGAAAAGGTCTTGAAACATTCATCTTTCTATCTCCATCTCTCTCTCTCTCTCTTCCCCTCTCTCTCTCTTTCTTCCTCTCTCTTTCTCTCTTTCTCTCTCTCTTATTCTCTCATTTGAAAAGCATGCTTCAGCTGTACAGAGAGATTGCTTTGACAAGATACACCACTTTGCTGAGATACATCTCAAAGGGGTCGTTGTACTATCACACTTTCATAAGTATTCCATCATGGACAATGTAATACTCTTACAGATTCAAAGTGTCTTTGGTGAAACTCATTCTATATACATATATACATGTATGTATCAAATATTACTTTTGAAATGCAGACATTCTATTATATGTACAAATTATATCTAAACATTGATTGAAACTACAGAATGAGGTGTAGAGCATCCATCTAAAGAAATATTTAAAAATTATTCAAAATTTGTATCGGTAATTGCATTATACATGTATGTATGTTAGTTGTGGCTGTTTCTGCTGTAATACATGTCCTTCCGCACTACATCTCTGTCTATCTCTCTCAAAATCATCTCTTAATCTCTACCACCATTTATATTTTTCTCTCAAGCTCATAAACTCACCTTGGTGGAATCCTGTCACCTGCAAGGCTACTCCCGACACTCCCTTGGCTACCACCAGTATTGCCAACGTTGCCGATATTGCCGATGTTGCCGGTGTTGCCAATGTTGGCAATGTTGCCGACATTGCCGACATTACCATTGGTGGTTGTGAGGACGGAGCTACTGTTGGACACACCATTGGTTCTCCCTCCTAGTAGGTTGGCATTGAGACTCGTCCTCATGCAGTTGTTGATGTGCGTGTGCCATGACTGCATGTCTTGCACACTCTGGGCCTGGATGACGTACTCTAAGTTACCGACAGACTGGAGAGAGAGATAGGGAGAGAGAAAGATATAATTAGGTTTGTTTAACAAAATTATAGTTTGGTAAATGTAACGTGACTTAACGCCTATCTGAACTAGTCTGCAAGGAGGGATTTGACCTCCTTGCGTGGTTACTGGCAGGTGGTTATCTTATTAAATCAGCTCTCAATTAACATAAGAAAAAGGGGATCATGGGGGATCGACGGGTACCGCTTAGGCATTGTTGGCTATATAGAGGGCACAAGTAGCTACATGTAGTGCAGTCCTGCTTAAAAGATAAAACCTATTTTCTTTGGACCCGTCCTCGAGCAACCGTTGATGCTAGTGTGACATGGCTGCATGTCCTGCATACTCTCGGCATGGGGACACTAAACCAATGGACTAAAGAGAGAGACAGGCAGAAAGACAAACAAAGAGGAATAGATTCATGGAGAGAGAGAGAGAGAGAGAGAGAGAGAGAGAGAGAGAGAGATGGGTGAGAAATGTTAAAACTCAACTGATTTTTCAAAAAACATTCCATTGCAATCTAAGGTAGATAGCAACTCATTGAAATATTGCAATCATTCAAGTTTTAAGTTCAATGACTTACTGAAATAATTCAGTTAATGTGCACAATCTCCCACAGAGGAGAGGGTGATTAAAAGAGAGGGGGAAGGGGTGAACAAATAGAAAATGAAGAAAGCAGAGATAGGACAGATAGAGGAAATTTACAAAGAACATACAAGAACACCTTTTATTTTGAAACAACAGGATGAAATAAAGGAGGATAGATAATAGAGAGAAAGAAAGAATGAAAGCTGGCAAGAGGAGATACATTGTAAGAAGAAGAAGATGAGAGAAGAAGAAGAAGAAGAAGAAGAAGAAGAAGAAGAAGAAGAAGAAGAAGAAGAAGAAGAAGAAGAAGAAGAAGAAGAAGAAGAAGAAGAAGAAGAAGAAGAAGAAGAAGAAGAAGAAGAAGAAGAAGAAGAAGAAGAAGAAGAAGAAGAAGAAGAAGAGAGAGAGAGAGAGAGAGAGAGAGAGAGAGAGAGGGGGGGGGATCACTACCCTGCTGCATTTTGGCCATTACTGCTATCCATAGACAATACAGGACAATTCCACGGTAACGGAAGGACACTCAGACAAGATTTTTGAACTCAGGTTCATACTAAAAGAAATGTTTTATTAGTATGTATTAAACTATGGGGAACAAAATGTCTTTCAGTCAAGTGGAAAGCTTCATCAACTTCACAAAGTTTGGATAAACACTAATTAATTGGAAAAACCATGTCCATTTTTATGTCCTTCCGTTACCGAGATAATTAATATGCACATTCTTAAACTACTTAACTATAATGACAATTTTTTGGGGGAGAATTAAAGGCACTTATATAGGTATTATATCTGTACTGTTTCACATCTTATACTAATAAAACGGTTCTTTTAGTATGAACCTGAAGTTCAAAAATCTTGTCTGAGTGTCCTTCCGTTACCGTGGAATTGCCCTACACATACATAGGATTCAATGACCTTTACACAGGCAGACGGTGAAAGAAGAGAAAGAGAAGGAAAGACATCGAGAGGAAAAGAGCAGGTAAATGTTAGACCCTAATTCATCAGTAAAACCAAACATCCTTGATTCTGTTTACCAAGAAACGTTTCATCTTACAAAAACACTTCACTCTTCCGAGATCTAAAATAAACCTCCTTGCCGGTGTTTTGGTTGTCACAACTCACTCCACAACACTGAGTACACCTACTCCACTGCCTGTCTAGGAACGCAAGCAGTCAGCATGATGCTTGACTATTGGATACAGTGTAGGGTCATGCATTGCACTTGAAACACTACCAGGCTTATTCATAGATGCTGCAATTCCCCACAGGGTGTTTTTAGGCTTATTTTAAGGTAAAGACCAGTATTGGAAATGCTCCTCTCTCAAAAACTGAAATGGAAACTCTTATTACCAATCATGTGAAAGAATATGTTTTGACTTATACGTGATAATACAAATTTTGCTGAGAAACCGCCTACTAGTTGATATATTTGGTAAATTATTACATATATTTGGACCGGATAAATATCGTGCGCGTGTTGCGTAGTCCCATCTACATCTTTCTGTGTACAGTGCTTGTAACTTTACCAAGACTGGGCCAAATTTCTTTTCATTTTAATGATTCCAGAACCTTGCAGTACACACCAATACTTATATGTTAGATGATCACTTTTTCTGATCAATTCCAAAACGTTTTTTTTTTTGACGGTGCAATCGCATGACCATAACTGGTCTTTATCTTTAAAGTATACCAATCACAAAACTATTTCAATCTGTATGTTATAGTGACATGTCATAATACTAACATGTATCTTCAAAATAAGTGTTTGAAAATATAGTGCAGTAAAAAGAAATGACATTACAAACCAGAATTTTGGGGGGCATTGCCCTCCCCATTTTCCAACTGAATAGGGTACTTTAAAATATTTCAGACTTGACTTATGAAATAAGAAAATAAGCAGTACTTAGTAAAAATAACGAGTGCAAGCCAGAAGTGCCTGTAACAGACTCATTCTTTTATGTTGATTGCAGTAATACAGCATTTCCTATCAGTTCATATCTGGACACATATCAGTTACAGATACGAAAGAGAATTTACATTATACAAGCAGCACTAACAAAATGCCGGCGTCTTTCATCTCTGTCTCCCATCTTTTGTCTCGACGGTAGAACTGTCTACTAGTTTTCAGATCTGGCTTTCAAAGAAAAACAATCAGTTGCAAATGAAAGGAAAAACCGATATCCTTGCATGGCATATCAGTTAGCCTGCATTCAGACTATGAAAATTCATTGTATAGCTGTATGATTTTCGTATAGAAGTAGTTCATTTTTCCTAGTCTGAATGTCATATAAAGACAAATCTTACAACAAAACGTTGTATAGCGAGACTCATGAAAACTCAATAATGAATCAGAATCCCGTGCTAGTCTGAACATCATAACGTATGAAAATTGTATAACTGGGCGGGGCTTATTGTGAGCAGGCACTGATGATTGGTCAGCTGTCATGTCAATTGACCTCTTGAAAATAACCTTCTTTATGTTTCTTTAAACAATGTTGTTTTAAAGTGTGAATGCTCCTTTTGCTATATGATGAATTTTGTTATAACGCTTCTTTATACGTTTCGTTACAAAAGCCTATGGTCTGAACAGGCTACAAGTATCATGATGCTAATTAGCATGGATAGCAGCGGAAAATGCTTGCTTGAATTAATGCCACTACTGCCCATCCGTGTATAATGGCGGCAGTTACTTCTAAGAAGTCGGGATTACCGCATTATTCAACATGTCAGTGGAAACACTACCTTGACGAGTAATTAAGGACAGTCTCTCTCTCTCTCTCTCTCTCTCTCTTTCACGTTCTTACTTTCTTCCCCTCCCCCCACATTCTTCCTTTCCCCCCCCCCTCTTCCTCCCCCTCTCTCTCTCTCCCTCTCATGTTCTTCCTTTCTTTTCCCCTCCCTCTTCCTCCACCCCCTCTCTCTCTCTTTCTCTCTCTCTCTCTCTCTCTCTCTCTTTCACGTTCTTACTTTCTTCCCCTCCCCCCACATTCTTCCTTTCTCCCCCCCCCCCCTCTTCCTCCCCCTCTCTCTCTCTCCCTCTCATGTTCTTCCTTTCTTTTCCCCTCCCTCTTCCTCCACCCCCTCTCTCTCTCTTTCTCTCTCTCTCTCTCTCTCTCTCTCATTCTTTCTCTCCCAACTCATATAGAACATAATCATGTGATCATCTCTATCTCTCCCTCCCTCCCTCCCTCCCTCCCTCCCTCTCCCTCTCCCTCTCCCTCTCCCTCTCCCTCTCCCTCTCCCTCTCCCTCTCCCTCCCCTCCCTCCCTCCCTCCCTCCCTCCCTCCCTCCCTCCCTCCCTCTCTCCTCTCTCTCTCTCTCCCGTTTCCATCTTTCTCTCACTACCCACTTGAGTGTGTAACACATTGCCCACATGCCTTGCATGTTCATCATACCATTATCCATTGTCCAATTACCAAACTGATGAGTGAGCTCAACATGTCTTGAATAGCATGACTGCAAGCTTCGTCATTAAAAGAAAAGAAAAAATCTCACGTCCCATTGATATTTCGGGGGATTATTCAACATTGGAAGTGGCCTAGTAATTTCTTTATTTTAGAAGGCAAGAATTACAGGGTAAATCCCTTTAAACCGATATACACATTTCAATATACAGATAAAAAGATGAAATTGAACTTATTCATATCTACATCTGATGTGAACATAGTTTCCAAATTTCAACAAATATGTTTTGAAATCGATTTTTGTTTTTCGTTTGTTTTTAATTCTTATATAAATGATTTATTCATCCACCCTTTCTATTCCTTTCAATTACCCATGACTCCCCCAGCCAAATCCATTCTTTGCCTAGTCTCTTTTATTCTCCGTACCAGGATTACTACCTCTTTCTATTTTTGACTATTTTTATTAATTCTGTCAGTTTGTCTTGATATAAGATCACAACTTCTATTGTCTTTGTTTTTTTTATAAATCTTGAATAATAGTACTATTGTTCATTGATTAGTCCTAGGTTTATATCTTATTCGTATTTTCCCCTTCATTTCTACCTTTCTGTCAGTCTCTTTTTCTGTCTTTCTGTCTCTCTTTCTCTCGTTCTGTCTCTCTTTCTCTCTCTGTATCTCTCTCTCTCTCTCTCTGTCTTTATCTCTCTCTCTCTGTCTTTATCTCTCTCTCTTTCTTCCTGTTACTGCCTTTATCCTCTCTTTCTGTCATCCTTTCTCCCCTCAAGTCAAATTTAAGAATGCCGTGTTCCTCTCTTCATTTCTCTATCTTCAACCATCTCTTCCCCTTCTCTTTGTGAACTCTGCTCTCTCTTGCTCTTTAAATATATCTTTCTCTCTCTATCTCTCCATCTCTCCTGCCCCCTCTACTGTGTGTTTTCTTTGACTTTCTTTCTTTCCTTTCTCTCCCCATTTCTAATTAAAACTTCCCTCGTCTACATTCATCCATCTACAGCATCACGCTCATTCCATCACTCTGGATATATACCCCCATGCCCCGATGATGCCATCATGCTATTGTTCAATTACCGGAGCTTGCTTGCATAAGGTGGTGCTTATGAAGCTCCATGCAAATGAATACACCTGCAGACCCAGTCTTACTCACACTTCACAATCCATGCCCGCCATTTTGGGAGGAAGTCAAGTCGTCCATTCAATAGCTGTTCTTACCTTAATTTTGAGTGTAAGTTTGGAATTAAGAATCGCAATATCTCTGTTTTGGAATGTGTAAGACTAAGATGGCATTTCTTTTCAATGGGTTTACTAAAAGGGTTTACTGTGTTTTTTTTCTTGCTGTGTTGTTTCAATGTTGTAATAAAATTACTCAGTATTGGATTATAGGTCTTTAAAGTTATGATATAAATGTGTAAAACAGGATTATTCAATTTTCTCTGAAGCAAATGTAACACACATTTTATCAACAGACCACTAAACCATGATAAGAAGTAATGATTTACATTTAAAGCTGCTATTTTTAATATTAAATATCAGCATGAAACTCTAAACATACAAAGCAAACATATTGTGAGCAAATAGGTCCTCTTAAAAGAAAAAAGGTGAACAAAAAAGCAAGAAAAGTTGTCTCACCTTCAGAACTATCGTGTGTTCTCTCTCGGGAAGTTCTAACGCTGTCGTCTCCCTCACATCCTCAATCAAGAAACAGAAGATGCCGGTCTTGGGTTTGGATGACTGTAAAATAATTCAACAGAGATATAATAGATGGTAAGTACACAGTGAATATGTGTTTTTCTGGTATTTCATCTCACAAGGGATGCTAAATATGCAGAGGATATGTACATATAAATGGTTGAAGAAGAAGTCATGTTGTATTCATGTCCTTTATCTTAGAGACAGCACAGGGCATTAACTCCTATCTTTTAACAGAGTAAACAACCTTCAGACTCTCAGCAGATTGGAAGTTCTGTGCTCCCTCCAAAGAAAGGCAAAGAAAAAGAAGATGGATAAGAAGGTGAAGGTGAAGAAGAAGAAGAAGAAGAAGAAGAAGAAAAAGAAGAAGAAGAAGAAGAAGAAGAAGAAGAAGAAGAAGAGGAAGAAGAAGAAAAAAAGAAAATGCAAACAAACAGAACACAGAAAGAGAAAATTGGGAGGAAAATCACTTAAAGATATTAAAATCAAAATGATGAGTCCCTGCTTGAACAATTCATGCGATTTGCTTCCAAAATATTATATCAATGGAAATAACTTTTGATTAATCACATGGGACGACATACATAAATTAAAACAAATTCAAATAATTTGAAACAAATGAAACCATCTCTACTGTAAGCAAAAACAGAGAATGTATTTTCTTTAAATTGTACAACACACTACCAGATGAGCTCAAAGCAAATGCAGATCCACACAATTAAACAAGAATATACTGGGTTGCTCTTGAGGGAGGATGAGAAAGTTTAATTTCATACTCTGCCATATGGAAATATCATCAAGAATAGGTCATAAATGCCTTGAAGACAGACTTCCCAGTGATTTTATTACATCAGTTTGTTCTGGTCTATTCATAAAAGGGTGACACTTCGTTGATATATTATATTCCCACCGAGGCATCACTCAACCCAATGATGCATTGAAACTTCCCATTATGATTGAAACTATCAAATTTCAGTTTTGTGAGAAATATTTCGCTGGGTGATTGATTTTATTGTCTTGGCGTCCAAAGACACTTTGGAATAAGTTTGTGTCCCATCGTTTTAAAGGTGAATTACTAAGGATGACATTTAGTACATTCAAGTTGAGTATTTACTTTGTGAAACAAATGTAAATGATTAGTTGTGCATTGTAGGATTTTGGAATCGTCAAATATGTATTCCTTGTACATCAACATTACTTAGCTACAGTTTAGAATATGAAAATTGTGTAGTATACTGGACTATACAAATATGTTTCAATAATATCAGTCCAAAAATCAAAACATGGCATGACTTAATATCCTTTTCAGGTAAAACTGTGTCTTTCATATTCTTTTCCACATGTGAATACACAATAGGAATGTTCACTATTTATTATTGTTCACCTTGTGAGGCTTTACCTACCCTGTATTAATTTTTTCTCTCCCTCCCCCTCCCCTCTCTCTCTCTCTCTCTCTCTATAGCACAGTCAAGATATGAAAAAAAAGGGGTCAACCTAGAACTAATTGCAACAGAAACGATTCCACTTGCATATAATCTGGAATAGCCATAAAAACAACATAATCAAAGTTGACAAAAATTGAAGTGGTGGATCAGTGCCTAATTTGCATAAATTCAAAATGGCCGCCATGTCAGACCCTGGTAGACACACAAAACCTATTTTAGCCTATATCTCTAGATCTGATACACATAGAAAGCTAAACGTAGTGTCTTTACCAATGTTTTGGGGGTCAAGGAACATGATTATAGCATTATAAGCAGCTTACAATTACTCCTTGACTCTTAATTTGCATAAATTTGCATATAATTAACCCTTTTTAAAGTCAAAATGGCTGCCATGTTGCATGTTTGAAACTATTTCTCATCTGATACTTATAGAAAGTTGATTTTAGTGCCCTTATCCATGTTTAGGGGGTCAAGGAACATAATTATAGCATTATCAGCAGCTTAGAACTACTCCTTGACTCCTAATTTGCATAAATTTGCATATAATTAACCCCTTTTAAATTCTAAATGGCTGCCATTTGTTCATGTTTAGAACTATATCTCTAGATCTGATACACATAGAACGCTAAACGAAGTGTCTTTACCAATGTTTTTTGGGTCAAGGAACATGATAATAGCATTATAAGCAGCTTATAACTACTCCTTGACTCTTAATTTGCATAAATTTGCATATAATTAACCCCTTTTAAATTCTAAATGGCTACCATTTTTTCATGTTTAAAACTATTTCTCATCTGATACTTATAGAAAGTTGATTTTAGTGCCCTTATCCATGTTTTGGGGGTCAAGGAACATGATAATAGCATTATAAGCAGCTTACAACTACTCCTTGACTCCTAATTTGCATAAATTTGCATATAATTAACCCCTTTTAAATTCTAAATGGCTGCCATTTGTTCATGTTTAGAACTATATCTCTAGATCTGATACACATAGAACGCTAAACGAAGTGTCTTTACCAATGTTTTTTGGGTCAAGGAACATGATTATAGCATTATAAGCAGCTTACAATTACTCCTTGACTCTTAATTTGCATAAATTTGCATATAATTAACCCTTTTTAAAGTCAAAATGGCTGCCATGTTGCATGTTTGAAACTATTTCTCATCTGATACTTATAGAAAGTTGATTTTAGTGCCCTTATCCATGTTTTGGGGGTCAAGGAACATGATAATAGCATTATAAGCAGCTTACAACTACTCCTTGACTCCTAATTTGCATAAATTTGCATATAATTAACCCTTTTTAAAGTAAAAATGGCTGCCATGTTGCATGTTTAAAATTATTTCTCATCTGATACTTACATGTATAAGAAGTTTATTTTAGTGCCCTTATTCATGTTTAGGGGTCAAGGAACATATGAACAATGATTATATAATTAAGGTGCATGCATGATTTAATATTTTCTTTAGAGTAGCTCACAATATACGTCACGGTGTTGCCAATTTATGTTTGCTTGATTACAACTTCAAACATTCATAATTTTCTTAAATATTTCTTCTTGTATTTTGCTCAAACCTTCACTGATCTGTTTCTTTAATTTGTTTGCTTCTGTTAAAACCAACTTCTAATCAGGGTGGAATTCTCCTTAAAGTTTGGTGTTTTAACCATTTTCTTTGGTTAACAAACTTGACTGTACCATTTACTTCAATTCAATTTGTTTATTCGTCCATGTAAAAATATAAAAATAAGCTTCAGTCATAAAGCGTGATGGATTTTAAGCAAAAACATACACAATGATATGAGAATCACTGTGTCATTTCAAGTTGCAAATTCGATATTCCACAGCTTACTAATAGGGTATATTGCACAAATGATTTTTTTGAATATCATTACTAATTAAAAAATTGCAGTTATACTGATTTCATAGTTACAATATTACAATAGGCTTACTTAGAATTATTGGATAAATAAAAATTCTATAGTGTAATTGCGAATATTAAAAAACCTAGTAAGCTATATATTATATTTCGCCTAAATGATGAGATTTCAGAATAAACTTTGGAATACTGTTGTTAAGTAAAAACTGCAGCTACACTGAATAGACTATTACAATTTGAATAATATTCAAATAATAAGATCAATAATACTAACAATAACTGTATTTATAGATTAATTAACAATTATTACATTATTGCATTGAACACAGAAAAAAATTGCATTTATTAAGATATTTAAATAACATAAAACATTGAAAATTTAACATTTAGTTAAAAGGCAAGAAAATGGCAAAGAAGCACCAGAACTCTGAATAATCTGACTCATAGCTAATGTCTATTATTGAGAACATTTACTTGGTGTCTTACCCAAGTCCTTATGGTAATATAACTTGATGATAGAATTATTAGCAAATTAAACTATCACCGAATCTACATTATATTTACAAATGGTTTGCATATAATGTATAAATAGTTACATATTTACATATATTTGCATAATTGCATACAATTTATATTATTAGGTTCATTAAACTTAAATAGGCTTCCACAAAGTGTAATTAATTCTTTATTTTTTTGTTCTGAGAATTTTTTTTTTTTAATGGAACTGAGCAGATTCCCTGTTTCTATGGTTAAGGAACCGTTTGTATTGGGACCTCCATACCCAGTTGCCATAAACTAGGATAAGATCACATAAATTACTATAAGATAAACATCATTTCTGAGAAAAATAGTTATCGTTCTACTTTTCCTGCTGTTTTACCGGGGTTCTTTTTCAAATATCATCAACATTCCAAAACTTTGTTTTAAACTTAAGCAAAATGACAAGGCTCACCTGGTGTTCAGAAAATTAGAATGGTTCTTAACAGTTTGCTAGGAATGCTTTCTGATTAAAATAAGGACCTATGCATTTATACCAAATACAACTTGATGACACTAATTTGCAAAGTAGAAAGAAAATCATGAGAACAAATGAGCATCCATATTAGAATATGATGCATTTATCAATCATTGGATGTAAGGTGCAAATGTTTATGGTTGATTATCTGGCAACCTGTGGATAAAGATAAGAATTAGAAGTTGTGCTTCTTAATGTCTCAACCATTTTGCAAAAGTATCTACCATTTACATTTATATTTCTTCCAAGAAAAGTGCTGCTTCAAGGCCTTGAAGATTGCGCACTGTGTGTGTATGTGAGGAGCCTATGTGAGCCTGCTGGCCAGGATCCTTGTGCATATATGTACAGGGTGCGAGTAAAATCTTTTAATCCCGTGGGGGCAGTTAGGGGTGCTTCTTTCCCAGTGAGGACTTAAATGCCTCAAGGGAGAGTGAGCAGGCTGGATCTATTGGAAGGTTGTTCCAGTCCTTGGTAGTTCTGGGGAAGAAGGAGCTGATGTAGGCTTGGCTAGTACACAGTGTCGCTCTGAAGCGGGATCCGTGACCTCTTGTTTACAGATGTTGCTGCCTTAGGGTATTGTTGCCATTCAACGTCAACAAGACCTGGGGTACGCCATATGTGACTTTGGCTTCAGAGCTGATTCCTCCAGTATGACTTGTTGGGTACGGCCAGTCAGGAAGTTCTCGATCCACTGAAGAGTAA